TTTTTTATGACGGAAGGAGAGTTAATATTACTGACGTCAGTAACCTTTTAGGGCCTGATGTCACTCTGCTGAACTTTTGTTTGACTTGGTTATTGACCAGAACTATTTTTTGTCAGTTTAGCCATCATTAGTTCTTAACCCAGTCATCATCATTTTTCTTTTTTGCTTTATTTTTGGTATTATTTAGATATTCTCTGAGAGAAGAGGGCAGTGGAGAGCAACAACCCAGTCCCAAGAGTTCTTCAGAACTCTTCAAAGGTACTATAGCAATGCATACATGGACGCAGAGAAACAGCATGCAATTAATGTGTAAGCTATTTTTGCTCTTAACCTTTCCTTTTGTTGATTTACTTTTTTGTCTGCTAACAATGGCAACCAAGCATCCGTTTTTGTAATTAGCATCATTTTGTCAGAGTGATTTTTTGATATGACTGATTTTTTCTTGTTTTGGACAATGAGCAGATTTCTGGGGTACTTCCAGCCCCAGCATGGCAAACCTGCAGTCTGGGAATTGGGTTCAGATCAACATTATGGTGGGCGAAATGGAGAAACCAACCTAGATGAAGATGGAAGGTAAATAGCTAATTAAGTGACACATTGAACTTCCGAAATTTGCTGTAGGAAATATAAAATGCACTTTGCTTGATAATATTGTTCCATACTACTGAATCTGCTCATTTTAGTTGTACCTTTCAAGTGCAACTTATTTCGCCATGCGCGATATGCGGTTAGACATGCTTGGCTTTTTCTGTTTGTGCTGTATCTTTTTACTAGCGAAGGTTGGAGGTCAAATCATTGATACATAATCTATTATGTATTTTGAAGACCTAACCATTAGTTCTTGGTCCCCAAGAAATTCGTTAGTATAATACTGCTTTAAATTCAATTTCTTTAGACATAACTTCATTCTCTGGATATAGATGTTAAATTGTCCTCGTCTTATGTGATTTGATTGAGAAGCTATCCGCACCTTCAATTAATTTTATGTGCTTGTGTATTTTTCTTCGACATTTGCCTTTTCTCAGTTAACAAAATGAGTCTTGGGTGATTAGGATCAGTTCCTTGTGGCATGC